GAGAACTTATCTTTTCATGTATCAATCCTCAATCCTGTTTTTTATGAGACTCCCAACATTACAATAACCTGACTGTATCTGATGGTTTGTTACACAGAGCCATGTGGGAAGTTGTTTTTGAAAAAAGGGCAGGCACTTTCAAAATATAATTGGCAGGTGATTGGATGTTCTGATATAACTGATGTCAGCAGCATCTATGCTCACCTCTTTAGGCGCCACCATTGTTGTTTTCGAGCGAATAGTCTTCACACACATCGTCACACACACACACACAGGTTTAAACGGCCGTCCTCATAAGATGCTGATTGGTCCGCTACCACTGTGGTTGGACAGGGCAGAGCTTGAAGCCTGGCAAGATGAATTCCTGCTTGATATTGTGATTTTGTGATCTTGTGAGTCCAGCTGCCTCTCAAGGTTAACATTACAGTTTGTAGAAAGAGTTTTTCATCCAACTAGTTACCAACCACACTCTTAACCTGGACGTTCCCTGAGATCCACATGCTACCCAGCTGAATCAGCCCTGTCTGAACTCTGTTCTAGGCCTCAAGTCTGTCCTGCCTCTGTTGTCTTAATTTAAAAAAGGGTTTTCTCTGGGTCAACAGATATATATTGAATTAATTGGTCTAATTAAGCAAAATAAGTAATCATTTAAATATTTACTGGGAGCTAAATTGGTGTAAGTGAAGCTCTACTATTGGTTAAAAAATTTGCAATGACAGTAAAACATTCATAAATGACTATTTTTCTTTTTTCCTTCAGTTGAAAATATTTATTTTTTAAATTATACTATTTTTTCTGAAAAAAATAAATACAATCATAATTGAACAAAGTATCTTTGAATCTAAAATGAAAACATTTATATTTAAAAACTGTAGAGATTCTTCCAACTTAGAGATTCTTAGAGAACTTTCTGGCTTCGTCCTCCACACTGAGATTTGTGTAAGTTAAGTGTCCATCTGTATGCACTTGTGTATAAATGTTGGCCATATTTTGCATATGCGCTGAAGTTTTGCCTGCAGCCGGGGTTACTGGCTTAAATGATCTGTGTGTGTGTGTGTGTGTGTGTGTGTGTCAGTGTCTGTGTGAACCTGATCTCATTGTTCCATCCCAGACGGTCTCTGCATTAGAGAGCCACAGACAGGAAGTCAAACTCTTAATTATTTAGGAGAGGTGTTATCAAAGCTCTCCTCTCTCTCTCTCTCTCTCTCTCTCTCTCTTTCTATCTCTCCTTGTCTCTCTCTCTCTCTCTCTTTCTATCTCTCCCTTTCTCTCTCTTTCTCTCTTTCTTTTGTTTTCTTGCTTATTCTTGATGCATCATCGGTTCTTTATGTTTCTCATGCAAGTAAAGCAGATTTTGTCTTTCTTATTATCTTTTTTTATGCTTTTTTCTTCAGCATTTCTACTTTATCCTGTACATTCCATCGTACCACCCCTCTCTTTCTTCTCTTTCCCTTATCTTTCCATTTCAGCCTCTTTCATGTCTCTCAGCTGTCCTCACATTTCTTTCTCCTCTTATTCTCCTGCCTGGCATTCCCACCCTCTCTCTCTCTCTTTCTCTCTCTCTCTTCTCTCTCCTCTCTCTCTCTCTCTCTCTCTCTCTGTCTATGTGGTGTATCAGGTAACTGGCAAGGTATTGTGGCCTGCGCCCATCATCCTATCATATTCTCTAATGCAAACAGGGAACGGCAACCTGTCAATAAAATGCCGTTTTAAATCAGTTATTTTTACTGCACCGCAGCAACACACACACACACACACACACACAAACCTACACACAAACCTAAGAGAAATACACAACAAAAGTCTCACAATCCTGTCGCTTGTTTGTCACAAACTCTCTTTGACTTTTTACTTGAATGTAAGCACCATCTCTTTACTCTGTCTTACTGCCAAAGTCTCTCTCTCTGTTTCTTTCTTTGTCTTGCATAAACACGCTGTGTCCAGCTTGTACGATGACAGTTACAGCCTTGTCTCACTCTGTGTTAGTGAACCACTGGCTGCTCACATCAAAACGCCCTCCACCCGTTTTTCACTTCCCGGTGATCACTGTTAAAATGATTGAAGCTTTCTCTGTCTTTCCATAATCAAGCACATAGGCACACGTGTGTATGCACACATATATGTTTGCACACACACACACACACACACTCACTCTCTCTCGCTCTCTCTCTTTCTCTTCCTATTGCACACACACACACACACACCATGGTAGGCATGGTGTAGTTTCTTCAGCAGACCAACACTGCCCTCTTCAGGCTGAGTGTTAAAGTAATCTGTAATTCTAATCCAAGAAACATCAAAGGCAAGAGTGTGTTTGCATTCATCTGCTCTTGCATTTTGGTTAATATTCAAAATATCAGAAGACCAAGTGGTTGGAGAATCAGATGATGCTTTTGGCCTTGTAGTTCTTTTAGTTTCTGACTGATTAATCAACTTTTGCCAGCATGTTCTCTGATCAGTGTGCTCCGCTTCCTGACCTTAGTTCAAGCTGTATGCATAGGCAATACATTAAAGCATTTTCAATGTTTAGTTTCTACACACAGATCATTTTCTAATTTCCACTACCCCTGACCCCTTTATTTCCCCATAAAGTTGCTTGTGGTCTGTTAAATATTATATCACAGCCATCCATTCAGTTTTCGGCCCCCTTCTGACTCCCGTAGGAACACTGTGTCTGCTATATGTAGGGAAACGTACTGAAAGGTTACTGCGTTATTCAGTGTTGCAACAAACGACATCACTTGCAGTGTAGATATCATTTACTATGCTAGAGTGCACACACGCATATACACACGCTTAGTTGGACAGTTAAATAGTGTAACAGAGCCTTACGCCTCAACCCTAGTACTTTCGTATGGCTGGCAGATTTCCTTTATTTAACCCAAACACAGGGCAACATTGTGAGAACATTTGCACAAACACACACATTGATCAGAGGTTGGGTTAAGCGTGGCAGGCTCCGAGGCATGTTAAACAGGCTAAGCAGTAGAAAGAGACGTAAGGAAACCGTGTTGAAGCCCTCTGCTGTGCATTAGACTGTGTGTGTGTGTGTGTGTGAGGGTTAGTGCACATGTTCTCTGCCGTCAACACAGGGTGGGTACCGACGTGCATATAGCAGCTGAGACACACAGTAGGGTGTCCGTCTGTCTCTCAGATGCCACATATACACAGCTGGAAATACCACTAGATCATTTAGATTATTAGCTTAATTATATCATAAAGATGTTATTTTACATGTAGTACATTGTTGGTCTTTTTTTCACAAAATCACAGGTTTAATATCAGTGACATTAAATTCGGGTCCCGCACCGTCTATTTGTCCCTCAATACTAAACATACGGAAGAAGAGCCATTAAATAAAAATAAAATTCACTCAATTCAATTCAATTTTATGTAAAAGAAAATGAATAAAATAAAAAATGAAGCTTATAATGTATTTGCTCTTTTTTGTCTGTTATTTTTTAGTTAAATATATGTTATAATAAAACATATTAGTAGGTATGACACAGAATGTATTAACCGAATGTGTCTGAATATTAAAACATATCTATCTAATCTATCATAAATCATTAATGTTGTAAAATATGTATTTCTTCACCTAAAATAGTGTAGATAAAACATTCAGCACACTGTATTATGCAATGCCAAAGCCTGTTTTTACAGTCATCCTTTTGAAATAAAATCGTTTTAGTTCTTTCATTTTCCCTTGAATTTGATTTGTAAGCTGTTGTATGCCGTCAGCTAAGTGAATGACCATAAAACATCCAGTCAACCCCCATCACAACATTAATGATTTGCATCCATCCATTCATCCTCATCCATCTACCTTACATCAAGACCCAGACAGAAAATATATCTGAAAGGAAACAAAGGTTGTCAATCACCATAAGTGGTTCTAACTTGAGGATAACTTTGTTTAGGTGCATAAGGGATTTTTAGCAACTTCCAGTGTTTAAATCTTACTATCAGAGGTTCAATATAACACCAAAAAACTAATTTCCTGTGGTTGCAGTTAAAGGACCACTCAGTCGCTATGTGATTTCTTTTAGACTGCATAGCAGGTGCCTATAAATAAATCATGCCTGGACGCTGTAGCCTAAACGCATACCGAGGTATCATAATTATCATAGATCAAAAGCTGATGACATTACAGCGTTGGACCGGTCCTATCCCATGTCAGTTCCGCGGCTGCCCATCTTTACGTTGTTTCATTATTGAGTTATGGCATGCATAATTTAACACCGACAGATATGGATCCATCCGTTGAGAGACTGTGGAAAGAACAGAGGGAGGGAGAGTGAAATGGATAGAGAGAGAGAACACGGTTGGAAAGAGAGCTAGTGATACGGGCTAGGCAAGCTTTCCTCCTTCTCTTTTACTTTTTCCCCTATTTTCCATTTTGTTGTCTGTCTTCTCTTCCTCTTTATCCCCTTATACCGCATTCCCCTCTGTCCTCTGCACAGTTTATTGTGATGAGAATAAAAATAATCTGGATGTCATAACTGTAAGATTCGTCCTCTGATTGTTTTGAGCATATATTCATACATATCTGTGTGCTACAGGTTTGCAGCCGTACACAGAATACAGCTTTGTGTTGGTGGCCTGTACAGCCTTCGGATGTGGAGCCAGCTTACCTTCCACAGGACGCACCTTGCAAGCCTCCCCTGCTGGTACACACACACACAAACACACATATTTATATATATATATATTTAGAAACTGTGTTTAATTTCATGTAGTGTCATTTATACAGATGTCAGATCCAGAAAAATGTGAGACATAATGATGATCAGCTAATGTCAAATATTATATGAACACAAAAATCTATTTTTGCTCTTAGTTGACATAGATTACTGGCAAAAATGTATTATTGTGAAAGCTCTTTAAGATATTACCATTTTAATGAATACTAAAATTCAACAATATCATTTGCATTTTGTAAATTGACCTTTGTCTATATCTTTACTGATTTATGCTTTCAGATATTTTTCCTCTCCGCTCCTCTTACTTCTCTTTTCTCCTCCCACTGCTCTCCTTTTTTGAATCCTCCCCCTCTCTTGTCCTTCTTTGGTCTCCCTATGCTATATCTCTCTACCCTTCACCTTTCTTTTTCTCTCTCTTCGTCCTCACTGTTGACTACAGTGGAACGAAGCTTTGTTTTGTCGCCTGACTGAAATGGCGTCATGGATTGTAATCCATTAAAGAACTTCAATCAGGATGATTTTGCCTCTCTTCATCCGCTTCTCATTTGTTTATTTTCTTTCACTTCTCTTCCTGTCCACCGCTTTTCTCTTCTGTCTTGATCTTTTCCTTCCACATCTGTTTTCTTTTTTCCCAATCTTCTCCACTACTCTTCGTTCTTTCTCTCAAAACCTGTTCCACATTTTTCTCTTCAGTTTAGATATTTCTCCTTCCACTTTTTTTTCATTTAAATATCTCATTGTCCACTACATCATTTTATGTCATCTTAGAAACACAAAGCTGTGTGACTGAAATGTTTGTGTTTAGATATTGGTAAAAAAAAATATATTTTTTTAATTAAAAGTTAAATGTCCTCCTGCACACAGGCAAATGGTTGAGTATTAGTCATAGTCATATGTATATAGTCATATTAGTCATATTTCCAGTATTGGATTTTGCAACCACATCCTGTCTTCCTCTCCTATGTTCTTTTCTTCTCCTGGTTTCATTATAATCTGAAGACTTTTTCTCCGTCATTATAAGAATTCACTCACTAATATTATAATCTGCCTTCAAATAAATGTCACTATTCAAGTAGTGATTCAACCTGTCCTCAGTTAATGAAAAAACAAGCGTTTGTAGATTTTGGTATAGGAAAGGTCTTTCTCAGGAAGAACCTTGTTTGTGTACATGAGGTGATGCACTTTAAGTTTGTTTGAATAAACAGAAAAAGGATAACTAATTAATAATAGGTGCCAGTTAATAGATGTGTAGAACACTCACTTCCTCCTCTTCTTTCCCTCTTTTCTTCTCTAGGTGTTTGGTCAAGGCCCCGACATCTGCTAATAAACACATCTGTGGTGGAGCTGTACTGGGATCAGCCACACCAGCCTAATGGACATATATCCCAGTACAGACTGAGCAGAGACGGTCACACTATTTTTACCGGAGACCACCGTGACCAGAATTATACCGACACTGGACTCCTGCCAAACCGCAGGTAGAGAGCAATTTACACACACATGAATGGAAACTTGTGCAAAGTCACACATGCATAAACACACTTCACTTGTAGCTTCATAATTAATCATCCCTTTAATTCCTTAATTTTCCCATTTGAGTGTATGTGTGTTTATTTTGGGGTCACCCTGTTTTAAAAGCTCTTCTATCGTTCCATCCACGTCTCTCTCTCAGGACTGCACTCTGTATATGTCTGTTTGTGTCATTTAATGAGTAAATATTTGACATACCAATGACAGACGCAAACATTACCACACACATGCACACACACACACATTAAAATCACAAATCAGATCTGGCTTTTGCTTACAGACAGCAGTGGAGCGTTGATTTTATTTATCTGTTTATTTTCATTTAACCTTTATTAATCCGTGTCTTTTTACCAAGATGGATTTTCTGTTTTAATTATGGGAGTGTAAAATGATACCCCCTCTCCTCCCATTTCTCTCTCTCTCTCTCTCCGGCTTTTTCTCTCTCTCCTGAGACAATTTCTCTTTACCCCAAATAGAATTCTTGGGATAACACCCTGCAGTACTCCAATCTCCTCTATGTGTGTGAAAGAGAAAGAGAAAGGGAGGAAGAAAGAAGATAGGACTGTGTGTGTGTGACGTTTAATTTTCCCTAATTCCAGATAGTCTGCCAGAAGGCATTCCCGTCCCGACCCTTCGCTTCTCATCACTTGTCTCGCTTCCTATTCACTTCCCTTTCCTCTCACCCTCCCTCGCCTCCCATCCTTTCCCTCTTACCTCATTCCCTTCCTCCTTTCCTTCTTTTCCCAATTTAGCCCTGCGCCAAGAATTACACAGGGAGCACCAGCCCCATTATCCAGGCGTATTTTTGCCCGCGTGTGTGTGGGTGTGTACCCACCCATGCCTTTCTGTGTGTGCATGTGTCTGTGTGTGAGACTGCTCAAAGTGGCCATTGATTATTTATGACAATGTTGATTAGCTGTCACTTTGCTTCGGCAGCCCAGGAAGTGTCTAAGATGACGAGAGAATTAACCTATTCCCTCTGGTTGGCCCCGCAGGACACACGCACACACACAGCCACATCTACAGCCAAACAGATGCAAATGCCCCACTCGCAGATTACCCACTACCACACACACACACACACACCATTTTTCTTTTGATATCCCAAGGTGGTGTTTACATTTAAGTAAATATCTTCCAGTGATGAAGTGTTTAAATTCATTCTCCCACTGAAACCGTATGCCATGATAAAACTCTCCCTCTCCATCACACTCTGCGCTTCACTCTCTTCCTCTTATGCTTTCTCTCTTTCTATCTCTTTTTTCCATAGTTGGTGTGTCTCACTGAGGTCTATTTATTTATGATTTTATCTGTTTGTGTCTATGGGAGTAACATATGAGTAGTTTTAATACCTTTTCCTGACTGCATTCTAACCCACTGCAGAGGTGCTAATGGCCTCCTGTTTAAAACGCTCTGTGCAGGAACAATAACCCAACACCACCGTCTATTAATGCATGTGTGCCGGAGTTTATAGCAAATTAAAGGCTTTTAATGTTAAACGGTGGCCCACTTACACAGCTAATGTAGGCTTTAGCACCAGCCAGCCACGCGCTCTTAAAAGGGAAATCTATCTTATGATGTCATGGGCGGGAGAGGCAAAGAGTGGGAAAAGAGAGGCAGCAAGACAGATGAGAGAGAGACAGAAAGAGACAGAGAGAAAAGGTATGTGATGGGGTGGGAGAAAGAAGAAGCTTATACACACACAGACACAAAAACACCCGTTTGAATCTATTTGCAGGGACCAGTTTCAAGAGGCCATGATTTTTGTGATTCTTTCAAAAGGTTGTTTTAATGTATCAATTAATCACAAGTAGAAAGCATACATTTCAAGGGTTTTTTTGGGCAATGTCATTTAACATTTATGTCAGAAATGCATGCTTGTTCTATCTACCGTAGAGTAGAGCAGAGAACCTCTACTTAATAACATTTGTAGCACAATTGCAATTGGGGTATTTACTAAGTACACTGCTCTCTCTGTGCTCGGGACTATAAGTGTTTTAAACTTTATTTAAGTTGGGTTACCCAGTTCTGGCAGTGCATTTTTACTCAGCATTGCTGAGTAACGTTGTCACAGTTACCAGGGTTGATTCTATGAAACTGCTGGTTTAGCTGTTACCTGTAGTAAGATGACCATCTAGTTCCACTTTGAAAGCCCTCTTAACATTTAGACCTGATGATGCGCTGTTTAATGGTGCTGGGTGGAAAAGAACATAAACACAAATAAAATACATTTTTAAGTTGCTCATAACTGACTGGATTGTGCATATATATTTTTTTTAATATATTTTAGGATATATTTGAGATATATTAATAAAACTTTCTTTCCTTATTTGACTGTCTAAGCCGTGATCCCGACTAGGTCCTGACATGTTTGTTGGTACTGTTGTGTGAAACTGCCCCTTAAACACAGTCTTTCTGCATGTTTTCTCCTTCTTCCTTGATCTCTAATTTGTTTGTGCCCCTTGTCTGTTATCTCTGTGCTGCTGTCTCCATACCCCTCTTTACCCCACCATGTCTTCAGGTATGTGTATGAGCTGGAAGCCAGTACAGAGGGTGGGACTGGTGTAAGTGACAAATATGTTATACAAACACCCGTCTCGTGCCCTACTGGGATCCCACCTCCCCACAATGTGACTGTGTTTGGCCCCCACTCCATCTCTCTTGTCTGGACCCCTCCTGGTGAGTAGCTATCCAAACAGAAGGATGGAAAATGTATTTAGTTTGAATGAGAATGCCATCACAGATTAGACACTTTGTTAGTTTCTGGCAATAGAACTAACTTGTTTATGTGTGTTAATAAGGATTTATATAAACTATGGCATATTATGTAGTACATGTGTATCTCAACTTGCTCTCCAGAAGAAAATTACATATAATTCAAGCATTTAGATTTCAGATATAAACTTGGTGTTCTTTGGTATCGTGATATTATCCCGGGACATGTTTCTATGTTAATGTATATCAATTAATTACAACATAATTAAACACAAAAACTTTAAAATGGGAACTTAAAGTTGGGAAATACATTTCAGGTATTGTGGCTCCTTCAGGTTTGTAACTCTGTTGGTGTTTGGACGTGTCATCAACCAATCAGCCAAGCTTTTATGGTTTCATTGTTTTCATTGGTAATTTGTGTGGTGACAGAATATTCACTAGTACAATTTATCACAGAGAGCCAGAGGAGCTCAATTCAGTGTTTCTAACTCGTAACTCATTTTCTTGTGATTATTTCCTAAGATTACATTAAACAGGGAACAGAGTTAACATCACACATATATACTGTATCTTACCACATAGTTATTTTGAAGTGATTTCACCAATAATTTAAATATGTTTAGCACAACGCTCAAACAGTGATTGTCACGTTAATTGGATTTAGCTATATAAGGCAGAAAATATATATATACCACATTAACCACACTAAACTGACCAGAGAGTCAGAGAAAGTTTTTCCTTTATGTGGATCAAGTTTTCCTCTGATATGCGGAGACAAAGAGAGGGGTCAGACTGAAACAAAAGCCCTGAGTAGTTTTCCATTCACCTTCTGGCCTCTCAAGACCTGGACACACACACACACACACACACACACACATACACAGGTTTACATGAGCATACACTCAGGGCTGAGTTTCATGCTTATGGGGCAGTGATTGTCTGCCCTAACCCATCTATCATTGACTATTACTCTCTCATTAGGCTGATTTCCTATCTCAGAAACCGCTTATAGGGCCAACTGGCAAAGACACTTCACTTTGTTGAGTATGTGGGTGTGTTGGTCTTTTGTTTCTGTATATTTGTGTTTATGCATGCATCTTTATACAAGTGTATTTGCGTGTGTGCATGTGCATATGTGTGTGTGCACATCACTGTGGAGACATTTCCATAGGCAGGCCTATTCTATCGTCATTACGAGTTGATTTTAAAGGTGAGGAAATATCGGCTGGGTTCTCACGCTTGGTTAACTCCCTGAGCCCAGAGTCTGGAGTGTTTTCGACTTGTGTGTGTATGTGTGTGTGCCAGTCTCTTTGACAGTGCGTTTGTCTGTGTGTACGTACATGCGCATGTGTTTGTGTCTTCATATGCATACATTGACTGCCAAAGCACTGACGTATGGCTATTAAAAAGACATTTACTCTGGGATCAATTCCTCTATCGTGGTGTTTGTGTCTTTGTGTGAGTGTGTGTTAGAGACGCTTTGTATGTGTGCATGTTTTTTTGTATGTAAGTGTACGTCTGCGCATTTGTAATTGTGGGTGTATAAAATAGATGATGGCGAAGCAGCTGATTGGTTGTAAATAATAGAACTGAAATATCACGGTGACGATTAAACCTCTACGGCTGAGCATCATTCTGATCAAAGAGAGATGAGTGAGCGGGTGTGTGTGTGTGTGT